TTTTCTGTATCAGCTGTAGAGAAGGTACTGTATAATCTAGTAAAGCAGGGTATATCCAAAGTTGTTTCAGTTTCAAAAATTTTGAGACAATATCTTGGAAAAAAGCCAAATCCTTGCCATTTCCAATGTTCCTAGAATGGAAATTGTTCAGAACCACTTAGGAGCTAAAAAGCACAGTTGAAGGCTGTGTGAGAGTATTTGCGTATGCATTGGCAGGGGGAGAGAGAGGAAAAGAATTAAGATAAATACAGCACTTCTCGGTGTTCAGCTGAGCTTGGTGTAAAGTCTGCACTACAGCAACTTAACAATTCCCTGGGGTTTTCTCTTCAAAAAAGGGTATTCAAAGAAAGAGGGAAGGACAGGGTTGTTTATAATTTTTTTCAGTAATGGCACCTTTCATAGCCTCCTATCAAACAACTTCCAAGTCCTTCATGTTTTAATTATTCTATAACCTACTCTGCTGAGACTGGTAGAAAAACAACTAGAATTATATATTTTACTAGAGAGAAACTGAAGACCATGTCATAAAAGCCCCCTCTGTGTGAGTTTGTGTGAATGGCTCTACAGGCATGTGTGTGGATGGAGAAACAGGTACCAGAAAACAGCAGGCTGAAGAGAGGGAAAGCGCGTGCCAAGTGGTAGCATGCGAAAGTCTGCCAAGAACTGATAAGCTCCAGAGACTAGCAGTCCTGCTGAATCCACAAAAACCGATAAACTCTGAATACTTGAGACTCTGCCGCATCTGTCCAAATCCACGAGCATCAACCATGAGTTGTACAACCCAGGCTACATCCAAGAAGGCTGCTATATGCAAAAGTACAAGATTATCTATCTATGTATATAAATATATAAAATACGTGCACATATATATATACGATGAAACAAATCATCTGGAGGGAATTCCTGAACGCCCACCTCAAAGCCCCTGGCACATCAATACATGCCTCTGCTTTTAAGTAAACAGCTGGGTTTCGTCTCCCAAGTCCTGCTCCACCCAGGTACGTGTTAGTGCGCATGTTTGTGAACTGCATGAGGGAATAAGTGAATGCAGTGTGCGATGAGTCCCTTGCTATTAGCAGCATAATAAAAGGCTATCTAATAAATACTGGTGTGATCTGTGTTTCCCCCAGCCTGGGCCCACCAGAGAAAAGGGGATGTACAATAATCCAGTATTGCAAAGTTTAACTCTGACATTATTGCGGATATCCAAGTGCGGAGCTACCCCACCTCGGGGAGGGCATGTGACATTGGATCCAGACTTTCTAAAATACAGACTTGGGTATGTTTCCAGTGTGGCATTTCTTAAGTGGCTGTCACCACAAACGGAGGAATGCCCAGACCCAAACAAGGGGACACCACAGACCGGGAGAACTGGTATCATTGCATGGGACGAATTAAAAAGCTGCAAAACAAAGTATTAATCTTCTCACAGGTGCATACGCCAGGCCCCTCGCTCAAGCTTCTGGACCACATGGTCTGTAAATGCCAAGGACTGCGGTCTCTTCTCGAGACCTCCGCAGTTGTGCCAAATCAGTAACATGACTTTCTTCCAGCAGAGTCACCAGGACTGACTCATGTGCTCCTGCCAGCCTGGAGAAATCCCAGGGCTACCAAAAGTGACCCCAACACCAAAGTGACTTCTGTGGCGCTCATACCATGTTGGCTCAGGAGGCCACCAAATTCAGATGACCCTTCAGGTTTTTCTGTCATCTCCATTCCTCATACGAACTGACAACAGTCCTCTCCAGGGACAAGCTACCTGGGTCTATCAGGAGTCTGCTCAAAACAGGCTTCATCTTTAAAGACTGGGCCTGCTTTCAGCATCCTCCCAAGTTTTTCCCCTCCCTGCCTCAGCCCATCTCCCTGCTTCTACCTGTCAGATGGATGATCAGTGTAATTTTCCAGACAGTTACAAATTTAAATAGGGTTGCCTATTTCCTGCAAACAATTGACAAAAATGTGCCACCGAAACATTAGTGCAGGTACCCGTCCTCGCGAGTGTTTTTGATAGGAACAGCAATACCTGCCGAGGGGGTTATCCTGCAGCGTGTTCCACTTCCAAGCGCTCCGCAGTCCACGTGCTTTGGAATCCCCTGGACTATTCTCAGGAAACTAAATGCAGTTGTTTTTCTACTTCAGTTTGAGGTGTGTGTAGCTGAGGACACATCAGGTTGTTTATGAAAGCAACAGATGATAAGTTAAACGGACACTGTGCTTTGAAATTCAACGGAAATAATTCTTTTAGAAGGAACACGCTTTTCAAATCCTTCAGTATCGTTTGGGTTTGCGTGACCTCTTGTGGTCAAATCCCTACCTTGCAGTTCTACTTTTTTACTCGCCGTGGGAGCGTGCCTCTGACATTTTTGGCTACAGTTGTGCTGAACGGTAGGAGAGGTTTTGGCTTGCAATATCAAACGGTAATTTTAGTGAAAGAAAAAGCTACGCTAACAGACATCTAGTGACAGTAAATAATTTTTCTCTGAATTTATGCTGATTAAACTAAGTTCTTATTTTTACTCTGTAATACTGTAGCTTAAGCACAACAGTTAAGAACCATGAGATGGATCGTATTCTAATGCATCAAAAAATTGCTTTTAAAGGACATAGCCTTACCTATGAATATGAAAAAAACACGTAGGAAGAGCAGAGGAAGAGGCCCTATTATTTTAGCTGCCATTTCTTAGCTCTACTGTGCATCTGCCAGTGTAGCCGGCTGACAAGTACCATCTTGCAGCCTGGCAGCAGGGCCGGCTGCTGTGCAAGCTTCTCCTCTTCCCACCACACCGCTGCTCTTGCCCTCTACTGCAGAGGCGGGAAAGAAGTTCTCCAGTGCAGGTGCCACAGCTTCTCCTTCCCTGAGGATGCTTTTGTGGGACGGCCCCAGCTCATCCCATCTCAACATTAACCGTAACAACCACCGTGGCCCCACTGCAGGCAAGGAGCAGGGTTTGAAGGGCTGCAGTTAATAAGGACAGACCTTGCCGTGAGCTGCTGAACTCGGGGAACGCCTGCCTGAGAGACCACGGCGCAGCAGGCCGGGGCGCTGCCACACGGTAGGCCCTGAGGCGCCCCAGGCCCTCTGCCAGCGGCGGGGAGAGGGAAGGCGGGGAGAGGGAAGGCGGGGCAAACACGAAGGCCCCGGCAGGGAGGGCTCGAGGAGCACCTCCGGGGGCCGGGGTTCAGGTAGCCGGGGAGGGCGCGGGCGGCGGA